TTGGAGTACTAGTTTTCTATTTTGGCAATATACATACATATAGCTTTGCCCACACTATAAACAATTAGTTAGGTTAAAAGCAAACAATTTGTTTTTACTATTTTTCTTGAGCAATTTCTTTTTCCAATATTTAATATCTTAATGCTTTACAACTATCAAAGGACATGGTGAAACACTAATTTTAATTCCTTGTAACAAATACTCATGTGCATATCATTAATTGATTTCTTAGATGTTCTTAACAATTGAAATAAAGTGGACAAATAAGACACTTAAAGCTACCAAAAAAGAAATCTGAAAAATTAAAATTTGGAGTGCATAATGCTAAGCAAGGAAGTATGGAAAGTAAAAATGTGATGCTAATTAGGTGTTATTTTATTGTTGATTATGCGTAAGGCCATCATCTATTGGACCAAAGTCAGTTTAATAAAGCATTTAAGGTGCAAAATGTCCAGATTAAAACTTAGGGAATGTGATAATCGGTGTAAAATTATGACAGTACTCTAATCCTGATTAAGGGTCTTAATAACCACCAATGACCATATAAGATAAGAGTAATCTATCACAAAACATGCTACCACTTAAATTTCTTTGCATGTGAATCCGATTCTACCTTAGAAAACAAGAATGAGTAATTCTTATGTCTTGTTCTCAAGAAATTGGTTAATTCTGAATACCATGAGAATATTCCAAATAGCAAATCTCCAGCAGATAATTAACTTAAAATCTCGAAGTACAAAAACTGAATCCTTTTAATTGTTCATCTTTGGTGAATGACAAGAAGGGTTCATTCTCCGCAAAAAAATAAATTCAAAATAACAGAATACAGAAATAAACATATAAACGCCTTTTCTACGTTAGCTAACTAAAAAAAAAGTTTTATTATTATCTCAATAAAAGTTTATCACCTCGGTCTTGCCCTTTTAAATGTTTTCCTCCCTTAAATGTTCTACGCATCGTTGAATTTGGGTGGAAAAGTATGTAAGAAATCAAATTTAACAACTTCTTGTTGAAAGAGAAATGTTTCTAATACTTTATTTTTTGGGTATAATCATGAGAATTCAACAAGGGTTGTACACATGTTTGTTTAATATCAAATGTGTAATAGAAACGAACATACTAAGCACTAGGAATTTGGTTATGGAACGACAATTATGCCATGATCTTGGAGTACCTCAAGGACCACATATGCAATCCGGCTTGCAGCCCTAACTTTGTTCAATCCAAGAAATAAAAGGTATTCAAAATCCAAAATCCAACCTTGAATTATTTGCTATAATAGAGGAAACAAAAAAGGTGGGGGGTTTTTGTGGGAGGGGAGGGGTGGGGGAAGCAGAGGAAAGATGATGATGATTTTATCCAGTCTTAGAATAAAAGGCAAGAAGCAAATAATGGAAAATCATAATAGAGAGTTTGTTTGTTTGGTGAACATGACTTTGCTTCTTGCAAATTTCCCTTTATACCATGTTACATGGGGCAATAGAAATGATCCAAAAGAGTATCTTTCCATCTCCAAGCAATCCAAAGCCAATTTTTCTTGTTTGTTGACAAAGAGTTCTAAAACGTGGTCCTCAATGATCCATTCTTCTAAAGCTTGCTATTTACTAATTACTATTACTATAAGTGTTGAGCGTCACCAATTACTTGCTACTTTCTAACTAGAAATTAAAAGATTACGTGATAAGAAAAGTCAAGAGGAAAGTGCAGTAAAAAAGAATGGATTAGAAACATAATGTTCACATTATTGGATGTGAAAGTGACCTTCACGTTTCACATCAATGCCCCTCTGTCCTAAATGCATAATTCTGTCAGTCAATGCCGTGCAAAGAAACACTTTTGATTTTTCAACTATGAAATGATTGTAGTAGAGCGTCTAATTAGGTTATAAATCTCAGTTAGTACTGTTATTTTGAGTAGGGTTAAGTAAAATGAGCTGCTTTTTTTCAAAAAAAAAAGCCAAAAGAAAAAAGAGAGAGTTGTTAATGAACTATCATTTTCAATTTGTGAGAATTCTTGGATAGAAAGTGGCCTGGATGGAGCGTTTGGAATTTTCAGATGGATTAGGTGTTTAACTGGTCATTCAAAACCTGTTTTTCCACAAGGCAAACAAAGGAGGCAAAGGAGTCTGTACGCTCACATGGATATTAAACATCTCAAGCTGAAAGCAATATACGTAGGTGTCATTTACTTGTTAATATCAAGGCTATTTTGTCACTAAGACCCACATAAGCCGTACACATGCGTATAAGGAAAATAACAGAAGCCGTTATATATATGTACAAGGAAAATTTTACATTAAACGACATGCGACTTACACGATGAATACAAACAAAATCACGACTCACCTGTTTAATCTGAGGAATTCTTATGCTTGTATCCATCGCTTATATATAGATATCCGTCGCTCTTTGTACTTAAACTTTGGGTTTGTTTGGATTGTAAGTTATTTGAGATATTTTTACTGTAACGCTTTTTGTGATGTGATGTATGTGAGATAAAAAGATAATTAGAAAGATAAAAAAGTGTATTGAAAATTATAATGATGATGTAAGCAAATATATTCGAAAAAATAATCAGCTGTTTATGTATAAATACATAATGCATTTTGCCTGATTCTTGGGTTCCATTTACTCTCTCGAGTTATTCCACTCTAGTACGCAACTTGCATTGGATCCCAGACTTTAAAGGATCTTCATTTCTTCTTGGTGAATTGTAATGTCAAAACAAAATTGGAGGTGTATTCATTAGGTCGTTAATTAACTAATAATATGTACGTAAAATTTTGACTTTTTAACAGGAGGGACACATGCATTTGTGCAGTCATGAATGTGTTTGTTACTCACATTGGCAATCATATGCAACTCCATGTGATCACAAACTAGAGACATTTTGGTAAACCTTCTCTACTGTTTGTTTCTATTTTTTTTCCATCTTTTCACCTGACATGCAGCTTGAGGAATTATGAAGCAGCCTTTGTCCTTCTTTCCCTTTCCTTGGAACTTTCTTTCTATCTGTCATATGATCATCTCATATTTTCCAGTTTTTGCAAGTTTCCTTTGAATGATTCTGAGGTACTCATGGTGACTTCCACAAAGTGGGACATTTATGTTGGAAGCTGTAAGCAAACAATAATGAATTATTACTTCCTTGGACAAGATGAAATTCAGAATCAAAATAGAGACTTTGCTCTCTTTTGCCCTTTTCATTTGATCAGAGCCACCAACCAAAAGTCTGCTAAGGAAATTGACTGACTGTGGCCGCAAACAATTCTCTCATTATGGAGAAATCACATGCCCTTATAAAAAAAAAAAAAAATTTTTGAAAAACAGTAGAAGATAATCTGTCATCGTGGAGGAAATTGTGGTACCACAAAGTCATTCTGTACCAAGAATATATATAATCAGCCAGGTCCAGTTCTTCCCTCTTGGCTAAAGGTATGGAACACATTATCTGGCAACTACGTAATGAAAGGGAAACTTCTCTGTCGGTTTACTTTTTGAAGGATGATATAAAAACGATGGAAGAGCAATCAAGTAATCTTGTAGATTCCTGAAATTGCAAAAGAAAATTAAACACAAAACTAAGCATTTTTAGTGCTCATTTAAGTCAAGGTTTCTCGTGTCATTAACTTTAGGCCTTGTTTGGCAAGCAAGTTTTTGGCCAAGTTGTCTGCTATAAGTTTTTTAACAACTTTAATTACAGTAACATCAAAAAACTTCTCAAAAATTTTAAATTATACACTTTAAAATGTCCAAAGAGTTACACACTTTAAAAATTTTTTCTACAATTTTTACATTAAGTTACAGTAAAATTTTAGACAAAAACTCAAAACACTCACTTGCCAAACTGGGCCTAATTAGTTACTATCAAGAATTACCATGAGAGATGTTAATAATGCTTAAACATCTTTGACTAATCTTCACACAATGAATTCCGGACTATATGTTCAAAAATGTGGGGTGTGACTGAAGTAAAAAAAATAAATAAATAAATTTTTGAAAGTAAAAAATGATAGCAAGGACGAAAGAGCAAGGGAGATCCAAGAGAAATGATTGATCTCAATAATCAATCATGAGAAGGTGCATGGCAGCAATACAAAAATCAAATTTTTAATTGTGGTAGGAAAGTGGAATTATTTAAAATTGTGCAACTACTCTCTCACTTCTATGCATGTTGTAGCATGCATCTGCTACAGCTCGCACGTTGGCATTTTATGTAATGTAGCAGGCGACTAGTCCTTAGCAAACCTATAAACTGCAAAACAAAACTGAATTAGGGTGAAGTTAATTAATAGGAAAATTCAGTTTAAGTGATCAAACTATTTGGTGCTTCCAGCTGGAGAGTTGATTGTAAAAATTTACTACAAAAAATCTAACAAAGAAATTGTATTGGTCCCTAATTGACAGCTTTCTTTTAACGACTAGTTCTTTCTCTTTTGCTGTATAAATAATTGACACATTGGATGCAAAAGGTGTATCCTCTCAACTAAAGCACTAAAATTTGTGCTCTTCTGACTATTCTAACTACTCCTCCAGCTCCAGCTCCAGCTCCAGGTTCTTTCATCTTCATCATCAGAGGAGGTGCTGGGCTTCAACATTGGCTGCACAGGAAGAGTTTTCCGGCGAGGAATGTGGCTTCGATGGGGCGACCCCGCCAGGGGTCGTCTGTTGCTAGTGGCATTGGCCATTTTGGCTGTTTCAGTGGTGGTCTCAGCAGACCCTTATTCTTCACCCCCACCTCCTCCTTATGAGTACAAGTCACCTCCTCCACCTTCACCTTCTCCACCACCACCTTATGAGTACAAGTCTCCTCCACCACCATCACCTTCTCCACCACCACCATATGAGTACAAGTCTCCGCCACCACCCTCCCCTTCACCACCTCCACCAACATATGAGTACAAGTCTCCACCACCACCCTCTCCTTCACCTCCACCATATGAATACAAGTCTCCTCCCCCACCACCATATGAATATAAGTCTCCTCCCCCACCCTCTCCTTCACCTCCACCATATGAATACAAGTCTCCTCTCCCCCACACCATATGAGTATAAGTCTCCACCACCGCCCTCTCCTTCACCTCCACCATATGAATACAAGTCTCCTCCCCCACCACCATATGAGTACAAGTCTCCACCACCACCCTCTCCTTCTCCTCCACCATATGAGTACAAGTCTCCACCACCACCCTCACCTTCACCTCCACCATATGAATACAAGTCTCCTCCCCCACCACCATATGAATACAAGTCTCCTCCACCACCCTCTCCTTCACCTCCACCATATGAGTACAAGTCTCCTCCACCACCCTCTCCTTCACCTGCACCATATGAATACAAGTCTCCTCCACCACCACCATATGAGTACAAGTCTCCACCACCACCCTCTCCTTCACCTGCACCATATGAATACAAATCTCCTCCACCACCACCATATGAGTATAAGTCTCCTCCCCCACCTTCACCCTCTCCACCTCCACCATATGAGTACAAGTCTCCACCACCACCCTCTCCTTCACCTCCACCATATGAATACAAGTCTCCTCCACCACCACCATATGAGTACAAGTCTCCACCACCACCCTCTCCTTCACCTGCACCATATGAATACAAGTCTCCTCCACCACCACCATATGAGTACAAGTCTCCACCGCCACCCTCTCCTTCACCTGCACCATATGAATACAAGTCTCCTCCCCACCACCATATGAGTACAAGTCTCCACCGCCACCCTCTCCTTCACCTCCACCATATGAATACAAGTCTCCTCCACCACCACCATATGAGTACAAGTCTCCACCGCCACCCTCTCCTTCACCTCCATATGAATACAAGTCTCCTCCACCACCACCATATGAGTACAAGTCTCCACCGCCACCCTCTCCTTCACCTCCACCATATGAATACAAGTCTCCTCCCCCACCACCATATGAGTACAAGTCTCCACCACCACCCTCTCCTAAACCTCCACCATATGAGTACAAGTCTCCACCACCACCCTCACCTTCACCTCCACCATATGAATATAAGTCTCCTCCCCCACCACCATATGAGTACAAGTCTCCACCACCACCCTCTCCTAAACCTCCACCATATGAGTACAAGTCTCCACCACCACCCTCACCTTCACCTCCACCGTATGAATACAAGTCTCCTCCCCCACCACCATATGAATATAAGTCTCCTCCCCCACCTTCACCTTCTCCACCTCCCCCATATGAGTACAAGTCTCCACCACCACCGTCACCCTCACCACCTCCACCATACGAATACAAATCTCCCCCACCACCATCACCATCCCCTCTACCTCCCTACCATTATGTTTCACCACCTCCACCATATTACTATAATTCACCTCCACCGCCATACAACTACAGCTCTCCTCCACCACCAGAGAAGTCTCTTCCACCTTACTACTACCATTCACCTCCACCACCAGTGAAATCACCCCATCCACCTTACTACTACACTTCCCCACCCACCACCAGTGAAGACATCCACCGTACTACTATATTTCTCCACCACCACCAATGAAGCCTCCACATCCACCATACTACTACACTTCTCCTCCACCACCAGTTAAGTCACCACATCCACCATACTACTACACTTCTCCTCCACCACCACCAATGAAGCCTCCACATCCACCATACTACTATAATTCTCCACCACCACCAGTGAAGCCTCCACATCCACCATACTACTACACTTCTCCTCCACCGCCACCAATGAAGCCTCCACATCCACCGTACTACTACAATTCTCCACCACCGCCAATGAAGCCTCCACATCCACCATACTACTACAATTCTCCACCACCGCCAATGAAGCCTCCACATCCACCATACTACTACACTTCTCCACCGCCGCCAATGAAGCCTCCACATCCACCATACTACTACACTTCTCCACCACCACCAGTTCCTTACCACCCCCACCCTCACCACCCCATGCTCGTTAAGGTAGTTGGAAAAGTTTACTGCTACAGATGCTACGACTGGGACTACCCAAAGAAATCCCATGACAAGAAACATCTCAAAGGTACGTCTTCCTTCTCCATTCCATATCTACTGAAATTTTTTCTGCTTACAAGATGACGTCATTTTTTCTTTTTAATCCAATTAAAAAATTAAAATCCCAATCCTTAAATTGCAACATATTTTAAGTCAACTTCCATGATGATTGTAATAGATTTTGGTACAAAACGTTCCTTAAACTTGAAAATGAAATGGGTTACGTTAGTAATTCTGAAAATGAAGGTTGGTCCATTCTTTGAAAGCAATTTTTGTTTTTCTTTTGTTATTTGCAACAGCAAAAAGAATACGTTAACGTAAATGAGAAAAAAGTTTGATGACATATTCTTGAATTTATACATATTTAGTAATTTATGTCATGATTAAGCAGTCAATAAAACAACCGTTAATTGTTGTGTGTTTGTCTCATAAATTCCTGGATCCCAATTGAAAAGGCTGCTTTGTCATACGGGAGACAACTTTTGTGTACAAATCATGGCATCTTGACCACGTAGTCCACGTTAGAGTATCATTTTATTGAATAAAAATTGTGTCCAGATCGTTAAGCTTGACATTTTTTATATGTGAAGTTATAATCAATAGTCATGTGTTAGAAAAGTGGAATAGTTTTTAAATTGGAAAAAGACAAATTAGTTGTTGGACTAAGTACTTGTGGCAGCTGGAGATGCCGAATTTTTCCAATTGATTATCAGTTTGTCCAACATTTGGTACTAACTAATATTAATTTTCATTTTAGTAATCCAAAAAAAAAAAAAAAAACAAGAAGAGCATAATTGCCAAAACCCGAATATGATTTTAATTATTTCTATCCACCAATAATTGTAGTTTTGAATTTTCTGTCTACACATTGTGCAGGAGCTGTAGTAGAGGTTACGTGCAAGGTTGGTGACAAGAAGATTGTGGCATATGGAAAAACTAAGATTAATGGAAAGTACAGCGTCACACTTGAAGGGTTTGATTATGGCAAATATGGAGCTAAGGCATGCATGGCTAAGCTGCACATGGCGCCAAAGGATTCCAAATGCAACATTCCAACCAATCTCCACTGGGGCAAAACGGGTGCTGAACTCAGAGTCAAGTCCAAGACTGACTATGAAGTCGTGCTCTACGCAAAACCATTTGCTTATGCTCCCAAGACTCCTTATGAGGAATGTGAGAAGCCCAAGCCAACTCCTGCTCCTTACCACTACATATCTCCTCCGCCACCAACTTATGTCTATAAATCACCACCACCTCCACCACCAACTTACCTATACAAGTCACCGCCACCACCGGTGAAACCTCCACCAAAGCCGTATTATTACGTCTCCCCACCACCACCAACTTATGTCTATAAATCACCACCACCTCCACCACCAACTTACCTATACAAGTCACCGCCACCACCGGTGAAACCTCCGCCAAAGCCGTATTATTACGTCTCCCCACCACCACCAACTTATGTCTATAAATCACCACCACCTCCACCACCAACTTACCTATACAAGTCACCGCCACCACCAGTGAAACCTCCACCAAAGCCGTATTATTACGTCTCCCCACCACCACCAACTTATGTCTATAAATCACCACCACCTCCACCACCAACTTACCTATACAAGTCACCGCCACCACCGGTGAAACCTCCACCAAAGCCGTATTATTACGTCTCCCCACCACCACCGGAAAAATCTCCACCACCACCTTATCAGTACATCTCCCCACCACCACCGGAAAAATCTCCACCACCACCTTATCAGTACATCTCCCCACCACCACCGGAAAAATCCCCACCACCACCTTATCACTACATCTCCCCACCACCTCCGGAGAAATCCCCACCACCACCTTATCAGTACATCTCCCCACCACCGCCGGAGAAATCTCCACCACCACCTTATCATTACGTCTCCCCACCACCACCATCTCCATCCCCTCATCCCTACTACTACAAATCTCCCCCACCACCATCTCCATCCCCTCATCCCTACTACTACAAATCTCCCCCACCACCATCTCCATCCCCTCATCCCTACTACTACAAATCTCCCCCACCACCATCTCCATCACCACTCCCTCCTTACTACTACAAGTCCCCACCACCACCATCGCCATCTCCTCCACCACCTTACTACTACAAGTCCCCACCACCGCCGGAGAAATCACCCCCACCACCCTATGTCTACACATCCCCTCCTCCCCCTTCACCATCTCCACCTCCTCCATACCACTACATCTCACCTCCCCCACCCGAAAAATCACCTCCTCCACCAGTCTACACTTATGCTTCTCCCCCACCCCCAACTCACTACTGAGGTCCAACAGCTCCGCCACTTTCCACGTTCAAGAAAGTAAGTTCATTACTATTCAACTGATCATTCATTTTATTCCTTGGCAAAAACAAATCATAAACTTAACATCCATATACACAAGCCTCTTAACTCTTTCTTCATCTTGCAGATTTCCATTTGAACCAAAGAATAAAGGAAGGCTTCTTGAGAAGAAGATACAGACGTCAATCGTTGAAGGACATTACATTCCTCAATAAGGTCTTCATCATGAAATGCATAGGCACAAAACTTTCAGACATGGACCAGTTTGCTTCTACTTCTCTGGTGGCCCTCTTACACATAATCATCATCCTAGCGCCTTCAAAGTGGAAAAGTGGCTAGCCTCAAATGTTTATTTATTTGGACATAGTGAGATTAGTCAGTGAGAATGGAGGGGGTTTTAGTGTTGTTCATTATAATTTATTACTTGTATAGAGGATGCATGGCCTTCTTGTGAGATTGATATTTATATTTATTACTCGGGTGTTTCTTTGATTTTCTTGTGTACTGTGCACTCAACAATTGTTAGTAATAAAAGAATTGATATTTATATTTATTACTCAGGTCTCTTTGATTCTTTATTTCTCTTGTGTATTGTGCCCTCAACAATTGTTAGTAATATCTTCAACCAACTTCCCCCCAGAACAGCCAAAAAAGAGAGAAACATTAGTAATAAAAGAGACATCTTCGGAAAACACATGTAGCTTTCTTCCTGCTTCTGGCTCTGAGTTTGATATAGCTATGGAGGTGTGTGCTAATAGATATTTGTTCCATCTATTCTGTCTCTCTAGTACACATTTGTCGCATATTCTGATCAAACTAATATAATTTGTACTAAACAATTTATTTGAATTTATTCAGTTTTTTCAAAAATATGTAGCTAAATCATAGTAAAGTTTTCACCAAGAATTACATTATATAAGAATTTTATACTTTAAAAAATGTCAAAATATGTGTAACAAGTAAAACTCCCAAAGTTCATACAAGTTGGCAAGTTGGCACAAAAGAGGGGGGACGGAGTTAGTGCAACAATGAAAACCGAAGACTTTTAGGGACCTAGTTATCGTTTTGACAGCGGAAAAACAAGTCTCCACCTATCAAAAGTTCTCAACTCAGCTGCATCCCCATCTGCTCCATTATTCAATTTTTTCATTTTATATTTTTTGGGTATACTCCATTATTTTCCTTTTTAAAGAGATGATGGACTTCGCAAATCAACATTTCCAAAATTTGCTATAACTTTATTTGATTTCCTCCTTTCTGCAAATCCCATGATCAAAGGGCAATGTGCTGAAGACTTGGAAGTGAACATGCTTATACTAGCACCTAAATCAAAGTGCTTTTCAAAATTTTGTTCGGCAATAAATATTTGCCTCTATCTTTGTGTACTTTTTTTTTTATATATACTTGTTTTACTAGTTTGGGAGCATATGCATTGCACTTGGTTTGTTTATCAATAAATAGATAAATTATTTCTTTGGGTATTAATAAGAAGAGAAATATTTTTGGGCAAATGACCTGAACAATCTTCCAAAATTTTTACTAAACCATATTTGGTTCTCCAACTTTAATTTTATAGTCCCTTAACTTTTATTATTAGGCCAATTTGGTCTCTCCACTATAATTCGAAATAATGTCGTCCCTTAACTGATGTTACTGGGCCAATTTGATCCTTCAACATTTTACTGACCAATTTAAGTAGGCAAAGTCGTCAATTCAAATTTTTTACCACTTTCCCAAGTCATAAAATCACGGAAAACAAAAATAAATAGCCCAAAAAATTACAAAAGCACCAACCAGGTCAGGGCAAAAATGCTTACAAAAAAGGAAAAAAAGCCAAGATGCAGTATTTGTTTTATTGCCTTTTTCTTATCTTTATATGCCTTTTCATTTCTTTGATAAATTACCGTAATTAAGCTCGTGATTGTAATTAAGTTCTTGTCTTCAAATATGCAAGTGGACTTCTCAGTTGTAAGGATTATGGAGATTTCTTATCTTTAAGTATAAAATTGTTTTGACCAAGGAAAATTTTTTGTGGTTTAGCCATTTGTATATTAATTTGAGCAATATATAATGCCTACAAACAATCAGTCATATGAACCATCACATGTACTTACTACCTGTCACAAACAAACCTATAAGTACACTGATTTAAGCTACTTTTTACAAGTGAGATTCAGGGTTGCAGTGCCTTCCAAAAAAATTTTAGGACCTCACCCAACATCTTTTAATTCATTTCTCATTCTATGATCTTCTCGGCCTATCTTACAAATGCAGCCATTACTAAGCCTATTAATTGTAAATAGAGTTAATTGGAGTTTACCCCCTAAACTTGACTCCTTTGAATGCTTTGCCTTTTTAACTTCAAATATATTTATTTGGCTCCCTACATCGACTAGTGAAACGTTAATAATGAACTTTCTATCCAAATTTTTAATAAAATAACATTAATGTCCATACATAGTGGTTGTTGGATGATGTTGTACGTAAAGTTGAAATGTAGAGCACTTTATTCGAAAAAAACATTGAATCCCATGATATAAAAAAGAAAAAAGAAATGGCGAAATATCAAATAGTTAACAAGTACAATTTTGTGTTGCAGAGTTAACGAATTTTAGAGAAATCCCCAAAACTTTTATAGTAGTTTTCTGTTGCTTCTCTTTCTTCCTTTAAACTATGAATGAATTGGCTTTGATAATCTTTGGTTACCTTACATTCTCACAGTATTCTTATGAGTTAATAAGATATGAATTGGTGTTTTTATGCCACATTTATACCTCGCTTTATATTTTGTTTAGGTTCTACATTATTCGGTAAAAAATTTGAGATTGTTTAAATGCGTTTTTCACTATATTTTTATTTTTTCCAATCACCATTTCATTCCACAATAATCACATGAAGAAAAGCATTCAAATAAAAAAAATCCTCAAATAATCTTCATTCCAAATGCAATCATTAATTTTACTTCATCTAAATAAGCACTATTAATGTTGAGATGAACGCTTTGAGTTGTTTAGACATTTTTTGTAGATATTCTAGCTTTTTTTTTATTGCTAAAAGATCGAATACATGGTATTGTCGTGCTCAAATAAATTTAGCAATTGTTGAAACAATAGTCATTTATTAGGCTACAATTATTGTATCAAGAATTAGCTCTGGGTATTCTGGTGATGCAAAATATAATATCATCTTAACCCTGTGACAGCTCCATCTTCCCCTCAGGTGAACCAGAGGGTTCAGCAGACAGCCTGCCAAACTCTCACCAGGACTCACTACAATCCACAGCAAGAATTATTTGAAATTTCTAAACTAACCAAAATAATATTCATTACACCCCAAAATAACATTTACATACATCCAAGAGCTAATACATAGGTTCACGTACAAAAGATTCATCTTTCAGCGTCTATCTTAATTACAACCCAAAAATATATACACTATTGTCATTTCTACTAAAATGAAAACTTAAAGTCTCCCAAAACATTTCAATAGTATTCTTAAGCACTCTCGGATCCGAATCCTGTCAAGAAAAACAAAACGTGGGATGAGCTTACGCCCAGTGAGCATTGCAGGTAAACAGGCAAAATAAGAGAATAACACAATTTAACATGTAAGCATGTTTTCCCAAGTAATAGGTTCAAGTAAATCAATACTCAACTTTAGAAACTGGTAGTGAAGTAATTAATTGTAATAGGAATCTTTCAATGTAAAATACTTGATAAACAATAACATTCATGCATGCATTCAATCATTCGTTCAAGTAAATACAAGGATAAATAGTAATTTAAACATTAAAAGGATACGGGGCTCACAGGAAGCAACATTCACCTTATAACTGCCAATAAACAATCCCCTACATTTTACAACCTTATAACCTCCGAACTCCCATCTTATGTCCTCCGAAAGATCAACAATCCCCTCATTTAACATTCACCTTATGCCCTCCGAAAAATCAACAATCCCCTCATTTAACATTAAACATTTAACATTGTACTCAAGGCTTTTCGGCAAAGAGTTTTGAGTTTTGCACTTAACATTGGTAAGTTATGAACCCAAAGCTGTCCAGCTGATTCGACCTCACAAATGGCGAGTCTCGTATAGGATGCCAGCATAGGATTAAGCTTAGTTCAGCTGATGCGATAAAGTACACATCGGCCTACATTCTTGCACATTTATCACGCATCCATGCAATGTGAACATGCGCTTATAGCAAATTAACAAGACAAGAAAATCATAATAGTCATTTACTTATTCGCATGTCATTCAAAGGAGAGCTCTTAAGCAAATAATAGCATTTTCACAAGTCATGCATAATCAAATAACATGCATTGGAACACTCACCAATCAATTGCAACCCTTCACTTTAATCCTGATTCGTCCTCCTGAACTCTCTTAAGTCCTATGGTCACATACTATATTAAAAAACTAGCAATACAAAGTCAAAATACATGAAGAAATTGAGATTTCAAAACTTCATTTAGAAAATGCATCAATTTATAAGTTTTATACCCATATAACCTATCAAAATATAATATTTTCTTGTTGCAATCGAGGAGAAAACCTCATGTGCTTACTAAATCAACGTTGCAAAAATCATTTGGAGCACAAGAGCATCGATTATAGTCAAACGTTTGAAGAAATTAGAACAAGACTTTCAAAATACAAAGTTGGAAATTATCCGACTTAAAATGATTTGAAGAAACTCATTTCCTTTCATTTAAACCTCAATTCCACTCATAAAAACCAAACTTAAAATGGTTTAACAACTCTAACTTAAAGTTGAAAATGGAAGCAAGAACAAGTTTAGAAAACAAAATTTTCTCCAGTTTTGCGCGACGCTGTTTGAAAAATCGTATCGCAAGCTTCTTAAGTTTAAAATTTATAAAATTTATACTATTGGAAAATCGACTCAAAGGACTATAATTTTCCAGAATACATATTTGTAAGATTCTATCCATAAATCAGTCAAATTCTAGTCTCAAGTTGCTGCTTCATCAAGTAGAAAAATAGAGCAGGTGTGAAAATTTAGTCAATTTTGAAAAATCATAGATATTCATAGGAATTGAGAAAAATTCTGAAATTTTCATCGTAGAATTCACTCTGAATCTAGTTTCAAACGCAACAAGCGGAATCTAATTTGGATTTTTCTACACGAAAATATAACGGATTTTCCAAAACTATTCAGAGTCTCCTGCTGAACAAAATTTTCAGCAACACTTGACTCAACCTTCCCACTAAGACTCATGATTTTGGTTCAAATCCAACTCACAATCAAAGTTTAATGTCCAACATAGTTTGTGGAGCAAGATTTCCCCCAAAATTTCTTGAAAATAAGGGCTAATAGCAGTCAAAAGTTTCAACCATCAAAAAGCTTTCAAAACAGAATTTTTTTCACCAAAATTTGCAACAAAATCCAACCAAGATTCAAGCTTTCCAAGAAATATACACACAAGCCACAACATCAAACTTTAAAACACCAAAATCTACAATAAACATTCATCATAAAAGCACAAGAATGAACCTCAAGTCTGTGACGCCCCACTTCTCCCTAAGGCGA